CCGTATAAGATTGCAATTGTAAACATGTTCTTGCTAGCCTAATATGAACCACTGTTGTTCATAGTAGGTTGGCATATTACACTGAACAACTAGCAAACGTAGGTTAGCATATTAATCTAGCTGGCCAGCTAAGAATAGAATAGAATAGAATCGTTTAATGTCATTATACATGTACAATGAGATAATAATAAATGCTTCTCCCTTTCAAGGGTGCCATCAAAACAAAAACAAAAACACCACAACATAAGACAACAAAATACACGCAGCATACATACTTAGGACGAAACTTACTAACGAACCTAAAACAACTAAGTTTCTCTAATATTTTGTGATTTGCATTTGATTTCGTCCAGCCAGATCAGGAAACTCCTGGCGTATCCGGCGGACAACACGTGACGGGATGACCACTCTGATGCCTCGTCCTAAAAAGCCCCAGCACCAGCTTACAAAGCTGCGATAGGCAAGATGCCGAAAACGTCTTTAAGGGGAGGAATGGATGATATACAGTGTATGTATATTTACACATGTTCATTTTGTACATTTCTAAAAATAAAGTTTGATGGAAATACTTAGTAGCCTTTCTTCCCTGAATGATTTGCTCCTATAACATATCATTCATGGCCTATATAGCAAACCATGATTTGATTTTTCATCAAACACAGTAGTAGTTTATTACAGGTAAAAATAACTTACTCTTCTTCCGTTCTACGCCTCAAAGGTCTATAATCGAATCTGTACATGTTATGGAGGTTCTGCAGGGTGTGCTGTATGTATGGTGTATATCTTGGCATATAATGTTGTGTGCTACTGTTGGTGTTTTCAGCTGGCTGACTACATAATGTTGTAACTGTCAGCTAGGCTACCTTTCTAATTTCTTTGCAACAGACGTTTTCCACTTTGGTAGGCATCATGGCGCAGTTTCCACAAGTGCACCTAAATAACAACAGTTGTAGGTACAGTTCGGTTAGTTAGCGTATAACATATACGGCTGTACAGACGCCATTGTAAAACTGATGTTCCGCTCAGAGCCGGAAAAAGCACTGTGTTATGGGCGGAGCCTCTCTGGTGGTTGACTAATCAGAACAGAGTGGCCGAGCTGACCAATCGGAGCACACTGGGCTCACAGGGAGGGGGGGGAAGCAAGCCGTTTAGGACAGAGAGTGAATACACATACTATACAGAGATGCTGTATGACAAACCAATGTGAGTTTGGAAAATTGCACAGTATAAATCTATTTTAGTATACCTCAACAATGGAATTATGATCAGTAGAAATGGCCATGACATGGGACCTTTAATTAATTTGACTGACCGAGTTGTGCCGCTGCTGTGACGGAGCGGATTGCAACGGGCCTTAAAGAAAATGATGCGCATACTCTATGAGCCTAATGAATCCGGAGGATTGCCAGAATAATAATAATAATAATAAATTCGATTTATAAAGCACCTTTCATTGCTAACAGCAATCCCAGAAGATGTAGGGAAGAGCCGAGTATTTTTGTTTTCAAGAGTCAGGCCATTTTGGCTTCATTTACCACTGAACAACTTTCATTGCAATGAACAGTGCCTTTCCTCCAATGCTGTATCAACTGCAAGGTTGAATACATTGGGTTTAGACCATGAGCCTTTTCCAATGCACTTGTTTCTACTTGATTGTAAACGGTCTGCTAGATCCTTCTGTTCCCCTCTGAAAATGTTAACCCTAAACTTGACACATTTTCATTGTTGTTAGGGCCACAACCACTACAAGATCCCTTGAGAGCTTTCAAATCACTGAACATGTGTTTCCAATGTGAGTTGCTGATGCAGGTATCAGCAACTGAATTAGGTTTGGTAGTAGTAGCGTTGCTTGCATAATGAATGAATCTGCAAATTGGTCGTCGTAGCATATAGTCATGGCATGTTTTGTAAACTTGTTGCAGAGGGTCTTTCTGTTGACGACCTTCATTGCTTCGGGAGAGAATGACATTCTCCCCTCTCTGCGTCATTAGAAGAGCAGCCTGATCGTTATGTACGCCTTACAGAGATCAATTCATTCATTCTGCTATGACTTTTAATACCAATTCTGTCTATTATTGTTTGTTTTTAAAACATAGTGCCAAGTCTCCGAGCACTAACGCTCATAGAGACTCTGCTGTTTTGCTTTACCCAGAAAAGTGTTTTGCTGTACGTGCCTCACGTGCTTGTGCTTCACCATTGTGTGGTTACGGCTGTGTCAGCCTCAAGTGCTGTGCTTCGCTAGCTTTGCTTCGCCAGCTGTGTGTGGGTCCGCTCACTTTCGTGTACTCAAATGCTGCTATAGCTACATGCATCCTTGTTGTTTCGCTTGGACCAGATTCCTTAAAACGTATGAACTGTGGGGTTTACTCCCTTTTGTATTTTCCTCATTTATTGATTCACTTGAGTTAACTATTGTTTATTTTGGTTTTCATTAAATGTCTATTTTGTTAAATCAATACTTTCTCAGATTTATTTTCATTCTGGAGACATGTATGCCAAGTGTTAATATATATTTTGGTAATCAACCTTTGTTTATTGAAATTTGTTTAGGTGAGAAACAATCTGTTAGAAAGCTGTAGCAAGCCAAATTCAGCCAGCACAAACCCTAGTACCGTTTATAACTAACTGACATTTACACTGAGGTTGTTTCTTATTGTTTCTGTTTCATGGCAGGTTCTGTGTTAGGGTGCATTATTGCCACCAAGAATGAGGTCACTGATCTGCTTGGTAGCTTTCAAGCAGGGCTGCCCCTGGCCCTACCCGAGATTGTGTTATGAGGCCGGGGGGGGGGAGCACGCTCTTGAACTGAACCGGAGCCTCGCTGCGGGGAAACCGTGGTGCGCATAATTGCACCGCATTTGCGCATAAGATGAGGCCCCCTGCGCAAGATGAGGCCCCACGCACTATGTGTGATCTGCGTGTGTAGGGAGGGGTGGACCAGCTTTTTCCAGACAGAAAAGCATAGAAGTGTGTAGGCTTATGTGACAGAGCTGACTCCCGGGAAACCTCTGGCCAATTTTATCCTGTTTCTTACATTCCATTTTAATGATATTGTATGGGAAAAACATGTTTTGGGGTTGATGCTGCAATATCAATTAGGGCCACTATGTCACTATTGCTTCACGATCTGGCGCTGTCTCCTGGGGTCTTGCTCTTAACTAGCCTGCCTTGAAACTTTTATGCATAATGAAACCTTTGGAAGTTCTGAGCCTAAGTCGCTTGTCAGATCGCCATGGTACACTTGAACATCCTCCACACACCACGCACACACATTTTTTTGAGTGTTGGAATTGTTGGGGCAAACTTTTTTTCTATTTCTTTTTTACTTTTACAACCATGCCCACTTTATGCATGTATTTGTCTGGTGTGCATGGAGGGGGAGGTGGGATTCAAGCTTGTCTCCCAACCTTTCTTTTATCCTTGACCTTTATTCTGTAGAAACAAGTGCAACACCATGAGGCCTTCCAGGAGAGTGTAAAAGTGCATGCTTGCATCTTTATTTGAACAATAATAGCATTTTGCTCGTCTCCACAAGAGCAGAGTTTTTGTCTTGCCTAGTGGCGTACCAATTGGACCAAAGATGTACTACAAACAAGTATGTTTCAAGGAATCCCCTACCTTAACACTTGAACTGCTGGTGACATATGGGAACTGACCAATACAGCCACCATTGGGGGTTATTTTTGTTGAGTAAGGGAATGGTATCATCCAAATTTGCTAAGGGGACTATGTTTCCTTTTTTTCGAAACTCGGCATCTTGTCAGCCAGTTTGATTTAATTCTGATTTTTTTATCTAGTGAATAGCATAATTGTGGCTCTTGTGGTTCATTCCGTTGGGACTTAGCTTTGGAACTGAAGGGGTTCCCAGTCCAAGTCCTCAAACAAAGGACTGAGTGTTGATTGGTAACATGGAGAAGTGCTAGTTTGCCACCCGGGTACTGCTGAGGTGCCCTTGAGCAAGGCACTAGAACCCTACCACTGCTCCCAGCACTAGCTGCTAACTACTCCTTATACTAGATACTGTCAAATGCAGTCTAAATTTCACGGTGTGTGCTATGCTTTCGACACGTGTGACATGTATTTGGTTTATTGAGTGCTTAACTACATGAAATCAAAGAATACCCAAATGAGTTGTGCACTCTCACAGGAAGGGAACAAGTGCATTTTAGGGAGTAGACAGGGGGTACAGATTTGGCAGATGTTTTAGACCTGTTTTAATGCCGGTTACAACAAGTTTCTTGACTCCACAAGGGAGGCAAAATAAACTTGTTTTCCCTCTAGATGGCAGGTTTGGTGGTTTGTGATTTGGACAGAATGCAGTTTCATATTCATTTGCATAATTTGTTGTACATAAATTATGTGACCAAGGATCAATGACCTGGTGATCTGCACATTCTGAGATAAAATCAAGTAAACCTGATGGGAGCATAAATGCACTAATATAAATGGACTAGACAAAGCATATCAGACATAGCCTATCCAGGGGATCCTGTTCACCCATTATGCCATTTGTCTTCATTAGAACAGTGTTTTTTCCTCCTGTGAAGTGGTTCTTTTAAGACCCCTCAGCCAAAGGGATTTAAAAACAGACCAGAACTAGAAGTGGCGCCATTTTGAAGCAAGTCTTGCTCACAAAATGGTGGTAAACAACGTGTTAACCCTTTAAAGACCAACCACGTCCAGTCCAGCAGACAAGCAGGCACATTTGATTGAGTTCTCCAGTGACGGTGATCAAACTCATCTTACATCAACATAGTGTTACTGAAACTGCACAGGGGTGTACTTAAGCTCAAGTAAGGACTTCATTAATCAGTGCAGTGACTGTCAGTGCAAGTACAACTGCCTGCGCCACAGCAAGTAGGGGGTGCAGGAGAAGCTGCTGCAGCAGCAGGAGGAGGAGGAGGAGGAGGAGGAGGGATCGCGGTGCGGTTGCCCGGAAGTAGTAGTTCTGCCGCCCTGTCAGGCTGTGGCTGTGTCAGCCAAAGAACATTCAGGGGCGGGCTCTTTTTGAGACCCCGCACATTGTTATTGGTTGTAACCAGACCATCGCATAACGTACGCACAAATTCGGGCACATTGTGTGAAATTGCGCAAAATAAATATAATGGAGGCGGATTTGGATCCAACGCTGCAACCCGGGGTTGCAAGCCCGATAGTGTAGCACACGTCGTGAGTCGAAAACGCTGAGTTTTTGATATAACTATCTTTATCGACCCACAGTCCAAAAAGAAAGATCTCCTGACGATATTCCTGAGAAGAGACGGGAGCCATTGGCAAGGAGGACAGCCACTTCCTCCGTGTACTGGCAAAGAAAGCGGACATCTTTGGGAGATAGAAACACAGACCATGTAGCCGATAAGCCACAAAGGGATTGCCGGTGAAGCACACAGAAGCTACACGGAGCACTTTTCCGGTAAGGCGTCCCGTTAAAGACCAGAGAAATCATTAGCTGTATCAGTGCTAGGTAGCATTGTGCTAGCTGACTGAGGTACCTATAGCTAGGCTCAACCAGAACATAAATCAGTGTTGGATTAAAATGAAACTCACACGTGGCTAGAGTTACAAACCTCACTGCTTCTGAGGATGTTTATGTGTTTTGAGCTGATTGCATCTCAGCGTTTCCTTTGTGTTCTCCGTCTAGGCTGGCTAAAAGTTCATCACATTAAGCATTCACAACCATTACAACATCATAGAGGTGGCCATGCCATTTCGCCTTTTTTTTTTTTTAGATAATGCTTATCTTTTACTTTATAATAATAACAACCAGGAACTGACTATGGCAGCTCTGTTGATGTGTTGCTTTAAAAGGTTAATACATTGCTCAGTAAGCTTTACAACAACAAATATGTCACCTTCGAGTTAGTAATGTGCTCTCCGGGATCCTTGAACCAAACAGTTTGACGTAAAAAGTTAAAATAGCTTGATGTTTCTATTACATCCATTCGGTAGTCCCTAGCCTTTATCATTTTATCAAATTACCCCATGATCCCTCTGCAAAAAAAGCAATGTCAAACCACATACACACCCTGGTACCTTTTTTATATACTCTATAGGCCTATTATCAAATGCAGAGCTCAAAACATTAGAAACTCACCTCAGTGTAGTGCTGTCAAGTTTAACAGCTCTTCAACATAAATACAAAATGTAATTAATACCTTTCTGACAGTGTCATTACATCTGGACATTATTGTTTTGTAATGTAATGAATATGACTATTTTACCTGCATGTGGAGCAGTGGATTGACACCTACTATGCTCAAAAATGTGTATATGGTGCATACATAAACAAGAAAAATAAATTGTAAGAAAAGGTCCCCAAAAAACCATTATAGAAAACTATTATAACATTAAAATATAGCAATATAGTCATACCAGTACAAATAAAATTGAATAAAAGTAAAATATGTGCAGTATTGGTATGACAAGCGGAAGCCACGCAGATATAAGATGTAGCTTTGTGTACATTGTGCATTCATGTGAAAAATTCGGATGGGTTGTGCAGGACATACTTTATTAAAATGAACAAGATATTGTTTGCATTGTGTGTATTAATGGAATGCATAGAGTCTATGATGTGGCTTAGGGTCAGTATCAGTGGGGGTCCCGGGCCTTGTTTTTGAGTCCGGTAGCAGAGGGGAAGAAACTGTTCAGGTGGTGAGAGGTTTTGGTCCTGATGGAGCGCAGCCTCCTGCAAAAGGGGAGTGGTTCGAACAGTTTGTGTCCAGGGTGGGAGGATTTGGCCCCAATCTGCCCGCCTCAGGGTCCTGAAGGCATGCAGGTCGTGGAGGGATGGCAGATTGCAGCCGATCACCCCCTCTGCATAACTGATGACACGTTGCAGCTGCCCTTCTCCTTGGCTGTAGTTGCAGCGTACCAGATGGTGATGCAGGAGGTGAGGATGGACTCGGATGATGGCAGTGTAGAAGACCACCATCATCGTCTTTGGCAAGTTTAATCTCTTCAGCTGCCGCAGGTTGAACATCCTCTGCTGCGCTTTTTTGGTAGCATTGAATGAAGATGTTCACCTGTAATGGGGGTTAGACATTTGGCTGGTAGAAATCAATATGACAAGAATATAGCTATGAAATAAGACCATAACAAGTGTCTCCTGACAGCCTGTCAGTATCTCATGCAGCTCACTGATATAGTAATGAGTGACCCGACAGTGAAGAATACATATATTTATAATGACTAGTTTAGCTTGTTTCAGAGGTAGATAAAATAGCTAAGTGTGTTAGGTATAACTCTTGTGTGTATCGCTCCGCTTACCAGTCCGGCGGGCGGAGCTGCAGGATTTCTGCTTCACACACGTTGCATACCGCTATTTTACTGTCTTTTTCGAACACCTTAAAATAATGCCAGACCGATGAAGCCATTTTGGCGAGCTTGTTTTGCCGCACACAGAGAAAAGTGTCATGTATTTTACGTCATGCGATCGGCTCTCGCGATCGGCATGTTAAGAGAGCACCGATCGATCGGTTGAGTGAGTATCGGCCGATCTCGATCGGTGACCGATCGATCGGAGCATCCCTACTAATTAGGTATTTGCTCTAGAGCTGCCCTCGCCTAAAGATTTTTCTAGTCGTCATTTAAGGCGAGTAGTCGACTAATCGTCGCACGTTTATGCTACATTATGATTATAAATATATCTTTTTTTATTTATTCTTTTTTTTCCTTCCAAAAATTCACACCGCAGGGACGTGCGGTTTTATTCATTTAAAAAAAAAAAAAATGCTTACGCACTTTAGCACAGAATTCAAAGTAAAGATACCCTTATATTACTTATCGAAACTGCACATACAATATATCCGATTAAAGCTGAGACTCCACAGATTATTTAAGTATAGTATCTAAGCGATCCGATCTCGCAACAGGGGAAGGAAACACAGACATCACAACACGTACCTTTTACGGGAGATCGTCTCACCGTAGCTGTCAATCTGATCAAAAGACGTGTTCAATGGCATTAAAACGAGAAACAAAAAACGCGGCTGAATCGGTTGATCCATAGGTTGATAATGTATCTGTGGCTTTGAAGCAATTGTTTATAATCCATAATTCCATTTTTATGTAAAAATCGGAGCACAAAAGTTAGCTGCTAATGGTATCCACCAGAGTGTATGCAGCTTCCGGTTTTGGCTACGCGTCACTCTCACTCCTTATTTGTTCATCTGTTGGTGTGTGTAGAACTTCCCCTGCATGCATAGCAAACCACCAATCACAATCATTCTGTATCAAGATTGATGCAAAACAAGTGATATTTGACCTTTTTAGACAGATTTAGCACAAAAAAACCCTCTTTTGGGGCCATTTGGGTAAATGTTCCATATCTCTGGCCCACCTTGCTGGATTTTGACATGTGACATCTCTTTCTGACCGTCAGAGCCAATGGAATCGAGGGGAAATCACACAGTCCTTATTTGGTAATGTGTGTGTGAGACTTCCGCATTGCCAAGACCGGAAGCAGCAGCCACTCTGGTGGCTACCATTAGCAGCTAACTTTTGCTCTGCGATATTTACATAAAAATGAATTTATGGATTATAAATTAAATTAAATCATTTTTTTTATACAGAGACGTTAAAAACCTATGGATTAACCGATTCAGACGCGTTTTTTCTTTCTCGTTTTAATGCCATTGAACACGTCTTTTGATCAGATTGACAGCTACGGTGAGGCATCTCTCCTAGAAGCTACGTAAAGGTACGTGTTGTGATGTCTGTGTTTGCTTCCCCTGTCCGAGTTCAGATCACTCAGTGATGATACTATATACCTAAATAATCTGTGGAACCTCAGCTTTAATCGGATATATTGTAAGTGCAGCTACGATAAGTAATAATAAGGGTACTTTTATCTTGAGTTCTGTGCCAAAGTGCGTTAGCATTTTTCGCTCAGGGGTCATTTAGATGCTTCTTATGAGACTTGTGTTTTGTTTTGGTAAAAATGGTTTGTATCGTCAGTTAGCTGAGATTATTTCCGTTAATCTGGTATAACACATTAATAGGTTCTTAAATATTACGATCCCCTGAGACACTGTCGTGAAAAAAAAAAAAGTAAAGTACCCGCCGGGACTTTGGGGTTTAACAGGTTAAAAAAACCCGCAATATATACCGCAGGGGGGGAAAAAAATCGCGATGTCATTTTTTTCCAATACCGTGCAGCCCTACTAGTTTATATTATTCATATCTGAATATAACAACCCAATAAATACTACAGAGGAAATGGAAACACTGAAAATATGAGCGTCTGCAAAAATCCCTCTGCGCAGTACGCCCTCATCATGAAATTAAAGCTTTATCGTTTTCTCAGGTCAGAATGATTATATATTATAGGTCTATATATGTTGATACAAAGAATCACTGCTGCTGTTTTCCTCCGAGTCTGAGAAAGTTACACACGTTGTCGGGATAATTAAGCTCCGTGTTTTGTTATGAAGCCGGCATTCAGGAAGCTGCGCTGTGATGGTGGGTACGGAGGAGACTTGTTGCCGTCGTAGTTTGCATGTCACCTTGTGGGACTCGTCCATTACTCGCTCAGAAAGATCCACACTTTAGATTTCCTGCCCGACCAAATTAACATAATGACCAGGCTCCGCTCTGAATGAAGTCTGAGGGGGTTTCTGGCCTACACGTCATAGCACATGCAGCGCACAGATGAAGCTTCTTTTTAAAAAAACTAATCGACTAATGAAAAATTGCTCGATTAAGACTGAATTAGTTGACTAGTGATTAATCAACTATTTGGGGACAGCCCTAATTTGCTCAATAGTTACACCGTAATTGTATGTCTGGTCTGACTTGCCTGGCATTGGCTGATGTAGGGATAGGTTAAAGTCTGTATTGTCTTTGGTTTATTCTAGGGATGCTCCGATCGATCGGTCACCGATTGAGATCGGCTGATACTCACTCTCTACCGATCGATCGGTGCTCTCTAAACATGCCGATTGCGAGAGCCGATCGCATGACGTAAAATGCATGACACTTTTCTCTGTGTGCGGCAAAACAAGCTCGCCAAAATGGCTTCACCGGTCTGGCATTATTTTAAGTAGGGATGCTCCGATCGATCGGTCACCGATCGATATCGGCCGATACTCACTCTCTACCGATCGATCGGTGCTCTCTAAACATGCCGATCGCGAGAGCCGATCGCATGACGTAAAATACATGACACTTTTCTCTGTGAGCGGCAAAACAAGCTCGCCAAAATGGCTTCACCGGTCTGGCATTATTTTAAGGTGTCCGAAAAAGACAGTAAAATAGCGGTATGCAACGTGTGTGAAGCAGAAATCCTGCAGCTCCGCCCGCCGGACAGGTAAGCGGAGCGAAACACACACACAGGGAGAACCAGACCGCAGTTCATTTCCTCATATTCCAAACGAGAAATTACGGTAGCAAATCACCCGGTTCTTTACGACC